GGGGCTGTATCGAAGCGGTGCCTTGGTGGTTTTGGAAACGGACTTGAACATATAGTAATACTCTCGACCTAGTCCACATTTATGTAAAGAAATCCGGGAAATTATGTGAAGGGAAGAAGGGAGCCACTCAAGGTGGCTCCCAGGTGGCGCGGGGGCCACCTAATTTCGAAAAACACTTGCCATTTTTCAAATTCACATAAGTTTCTCATAATTCTTGATACTTTTTTTGTGCTCATAGTCCTCCAACTATACAGCAAATTTGGTGCCATATCGTTACTTGTGCATTGAAAACGAGCCTGTTTTGTTATTTTCCTCTTCCTGTTTTGTTATTTTCCTCTTACAAGAATTGCGATTTGAATTCCCGCCTGCGGGCAGGCTAGCGATCGGAGCACAGAATCTTCACATTGCTGGAATCTAAGTTTATAGGACAGTAGCATCAACAAGGAATGATGAATAACGACTTCCCCTTTGCTTTTTCGGGCCAAAAACGATATCCAGCTTGTGAAAGCGCCACCCCCGCCGGGCCCTGGGTAGACCCAAGATGAGGTGGATGGACGGAATAAAGGTCGACCTGCAAAACTTGGATTAAACGAAGACCTTGCCTCAGATAGGATGACATGGAGACATCTGACAAGAAAAGCAGACCCTGCTTAAGCGGGACACATGCGAGGATAAAAAAAATAGAGCGACAGTTGTGTGGGATTTAAAGGCAGCGTCCGGGCAACATCCATCTACCCAGATGAGCACATAGTTGTAAAGAGGGGCCCATGAGTACCCGATCTGCGTTGGTCCGATTCTCTGACGTGGCCTCTAAAAGGAGATACGGGCCTGTGATATGTATCACAAGCCGCCCCTTCGTATCACAAACCACCTCTAATGACGTGTGCTTACGCAGGTGTGCGGTTGCATTGCAGATGCATTGCAGTTGCCCTGCACACTGCAATGCAACTGCATCCGTGCAGTTGCAGCTCCTCCCGCTGGCATGACGATGGGGACGAGCGATTCGAAACTCGTCCGCTCCTTGAAGAGGGGGTACCCAAGAACCGGGTTTTTTGGGAGTTTTGAACAATTTGGACTTTACAACTGTAATCAGGGCCACGGAAAGGCCCAAGAATGGCAGAAACATGGGAGGTGACATTTTGCCCGGACGCTGCCTTTAAGCAGCATTTGAACAGTCAATTCTCGGTCAGTTCTAGCAAAGCATGGTAGAGACCTTTCTGAAGCAAGTTAAATATATCATACGCTAATCTGCCAAAGACAGGTTTGTTACAAAATTTATCTTTTATTATATATTCCATGTTCATCTGTAACTAGCTCAAGCCCTTTAGCCCATGTGATGTCCAAGCTTCGAAGCAGAGGCAGACACTGGAGCTGCTTCTTCGTCTTTTCAGACATTTATGATGAGCAGGGGCAAATAGATGGGTATTAGGTGTCATCTCGCTGAATGCTTCGCGAAAAAGCAGTAGATAATGCACCTCTGCTGAATTATCGCTATTCTTATATGTCAAAAGCAGCTGACGCATAAAAATGCGGTCCAGAAATTTCTGGAAATAGCACTTCAGTTAAACTTCTGTGCGTTTGGTTTACTGCACGAATTTCAAACTAAATGTTAGCTTTTATACCTGTAGGTCAAATATTTGCAAAAATATTTTTTGCTCAGAAAATTCCTCATCGCCTCGAGAAACGATCTAAAAGTTCAAAAGTACTCTTATATGAAGTACTCTTATATGCGCACATCTTCAAAGGGCAGCAATTTGCAAAAATTTGCAAAAGTGCTAAGTGCTCCTTGCATTGCAAATTGATTAATTAATTTTTCTTTGCAAAGTTCTCAGTTTCCCCAATGGGAATCCCGAACGAATGGAAGTGAAAAAAACGAAGAATAAATATTGAAATCGTATTCAGAAACTTTCTTTTTTCAAGCCAATGGAAAATGGAGATTTTCTCGTCCATCTTCTTTATTTACCTTTGCTCTCTGCTTCATTATCTATCGAATTACATTAAATTTTGTATTGAATTTTAGGTTTTTACATTTGCTTATGCAAATGGCTTTGAGCAAAACTCCATGAGGATGACAAATATTCTCGAATTACATCAATTTTTTAGGTATATGAACAAATCTAAATGCTCCCACTCAACTATAATTTTCCAAAAGGTAGAATTGGATGAGCAAAGGTATCTTGATCTAAGAATTTAATATCTCTAATTGGACTTTAGGGAAGTCTACAAAAAGCTAAACTCAGTCCGAAGCAAATTACAAAAAACTTCATAAATATTTATGCCCTTTAATGGAATTGTACTTGCCAGCTGCTTCACTTCAAAGCAGGTGGCTCTCCCTCCTGCATGTTCTGCAGTTTTCTCACTCAGTTTGTTTTTAGAAAGCTTAACATAAAATTTCATGGCTGTAATTATCTGACAAAGTGCAATTTTCAGTTGAACCTGCTTATTTGGGCCCGTCTTACATCCTTTGGCTTTTTCGTGATAGAATTTTAGGTTCTGGAATCAGTACAAAATACCTTAAGAATAGCTATTTTTACCAAAATGGGAGTAATATTTGGTCAGTCCAAAAGTTCGGCCGTTTTTGAAGCCCATGCTCAATCTACTCAGAGGTAACAAACGCTCTAGACAGTGTCTAATTAAAGTTTCTTCCTCTCTCTAATGATTATGATTTTGTTAAGGTTTCTTTTATGTCCGCTCAAATAATCGTCAGAATCTTCGACCCATGGATTTTATATCTTGACTTTAGCCATTTTTTTGATTTCCGTTTCCAACTTTTAGCTTCAATAACGATTGGACAGCAAAATGAATACAATGAACTATCTTGGGCCCTTCAGCTAGCATTTTTGTGTTTTTTGAAATAATTTTCCCGAAAGGCTTCACTTTTGCAAAATTGTGAAATACACAACTGCTTCAAGCAATGATAAACATTTGAGTTTGAAGCTTCCAAAAACAGTTTATAACTTAACGTTAATTTCAGCAAGCAAATGATTGTCAGCTTTAGCGAGTGAAATATTGAATTCCAAATTTTTTGGGTACAGCATTGGATGAGTTTGGATAAAAGAAGTATAATAATTTTATCCGCAATTGTATAATTTAAGCTGGAAAGAATTCCATCAGGAAGAGGAGATAAAGCTGCTCGAATAACACCCCCTGGTTGCTTCCCCTTTATTGTTCTGTAAGGATTGGATTAGATATGGATGGATATGGAAAATGATAGCGTAGGAAAAGCATTCTCAAAAATTTCGGGAAGCTAGCTAGAAATGCCAAAAAAATGTATTACACTGCATTTTGCTTATTCTATCCAATTGTTGTCGACTAGTTTAAAACATAAAAGTGGGTATTCCAAAAAATGGCCAAACTCAGGATGGGTAAAAACCATGGATTGGAGAACCTGGCGATATTTTGAGAGGACTTCGCAGGAATTTGAACAAAGTTATACCGTTAGAGAGAGGAAGAAATTTTACATCGAACACTGTTTAGATCGTTTGTCGATCACCATTCTAAGCGTTTTGAGCATGGGCCTGAAAAACGGCACAAACTTCCGGACAGATGTAATTATTTGCTTCATGTTTACAATGATTTTGAGTGCAAAAGGGCTCTCAGTTATGCAGTGATAATTGCAACAGTTTTTTGCTCCAAATGGAAATGGTCATCAAGACGAGAAAAATTTGATTTTGATTCAAATTTGAGTCAAAGGTGCTTTTCGGGTTAAGAAATGGCAAAAGTTTCAATTGCCTTTTTTCAGTCGCTGAAATTACCTTTTTAGACTTCAAAACTGCCACATAACGATCTTTTGAATTGTTTAAGGATAGAATTTAGCACTCGTTAATCAATAGCTTTTCTTGTAACAAGTCACCTTTTTTAAAACTTAGAAATTCATTTTGTTTCCTTGTATTAAGTATTCTGTCACATCTACTTCCTTGTGGGCTGTTCAGCACACGTAGCTCACTAAAGAATTCCTATGCTTCCTGCAGCAGCGAAACAATTAGAAATTCTCTTCGATTTGGTTTTTTGCAATTCCAAAAGTACTCTTTGAAAGCTTGATGAGGTGTCTTCTTCTATCAGAAGGGCGGAGAACAACTAGCAGACTACCAAATTATGGACTTTTTTGGTTTTTTGGATAATTTTGTCGCAAATTAGATAGACCAAAGCTGAAAATCAACCTCACTAAGTTCGAGCACCTGAAATTTTGTAAAAAAAAACTGAAAGGTTTTAAAAAAGCAGTGCCCAAGTGACAGCTCATATTATACACTCACGCTGATTCAACTCTACGGTCGCCCGACACCGTATACAAAGGCGCTGATTGGCCAGATAGATAAGGTTACGGTATCGGAAGCAAGTTTAGAGGTCAACTTCTTGGCCATGATTTAATACTATGAGCTGTCGCGAGGCTAGTGGATTATTGAACCGCTCATTTAGATTCCATACACATAAGAAAAATTTTTATAAACAGATGTTACCGGACACTGCCTTCATCTCAAATCTAAATAAATCCACTTCGATAGCCATTGGAACATTGTCTCCGGATTGAGTGTTTTTTGAAAAATAACCACACAGCGTACAAAAAAGATAGTAAGTTTTGTGTGAAGGAAAAGTAGAAAATTTTCTACCCAGAACATCCTACATATTACGCAGCCGGCAGAGTATTTAAAGAATTCTGATGATCCAACTTTCACACTTGAACTAATATCATTATTTTATTAGTTTTGTAGAGCAGGGACATCCTTTGGACATTTCAGCTAGAAAATATGTTTGTAAAACTTACCAACATTAACCCTCTTCCAAACTTTCAATTTTTCTAAATTATTCCTCTTTCTTCAATTTGATTGCATAACACTTGATTGCTTTTTGTAAAATTTATTGAAAAAATAAGATTGTTGCAATTTATGAATTTACGCTTTTTTCGCGCATTTTTTATCGTTTTGCATGGAAGAGTGGACGAGTCGCAATGCGACACACATCTATCCGAAAACTGACAACTAGTTGACATTTCTGATGCTTTAAGCGGTGACGGAATGCCACCCCCGGGGACGAGCAGATTCTTGGCCGAGCAGCTGTCCGCACTGCGCATCGTCGAACCGACACCGTTCCCATTTCGTCCGGTCAACAACGAAGACGTCGACGAGAAGTTGAACGACGGTTCTGCAGAATCGCGATGTTTAGTCAATAATACAGCTGCTCATTGGCATTTGAAGGATATTATCATGAATCAGGTAAGTTAAAGTGTACCCTGTAAAAATTTGGGCAAAAAGTTACCCCCCGTGAGGAGGCCACGCCCACTTGTAATTGCAGGTGCGATTCGCCACCTCCACTATGACAAGGCGACCTGCCATTGCCGAAGGCATGGATCTGGCTGGCGGTGGTCCCGGTGACGATGAAGAAGGTAAGTTTTTTTACACTACCCCCCCCCCCCCCTGGTTCTCTTCGCTATCTTCTCATCTGCTCCCCATATTCCTTCTTTTTGTGTTCATATGCGATTATCTTTCTCTCACGCTCTAAGCTTTATCATCGCCGGCGGCGTTTTTCTCTCGTATATAAAGTGTCATGAGGCTTGAAATCTCATTTCTTCGCTTCAAAATGCCCCTTAAAGGATTCAATACTCGAGTGAGAATTCGAGAAGGTAAGAATTATTTATTATTAAAATACAGCAGATTTGTTGGGCGAACTCAATATGCGTTTTTAACGAATTTTGAGCACTTAATCTCTAAAAAACAGCATTGTCGAAAAATTGGCAGCCTTGTCTTTGTTTCTTGAATTTCTAAGTCTAAGGCATCTCCTTTTATTAGATGTGATCTTGTTTTCCGCATGAAAACACAACAAACTAAATTTGGAATCGGGCATGATTGAATTTTCAAAATTATCGGGCTTCTATCCTACTCTGGAATCCGATTTTCTATGGATGGCGGAGATAATAGAATTATTGAACGATTTTAAATCTTATTTCTTCTCTTCTTATTTTATTTGATTCAAAAGGTACGTGTATTTTTTCAGTTTCTTGCTTGCTTCCTCCCCTTCTCTTCTCTCCGTAGAATCTAACAAGAGCTATCAAAATAGTCAGGGAAGGGTGGGAACTTTGCTTTCGCCAGAGTAAAGCATAAAATTTGCTCCATTGGCCTTGAAAGTTGCTGTGAATGTTGCGAATTACTGTAACTCAGTAACGTGTACGATTTATCTGTACGTTATATAGTTACGGTAGCTCGCTAAAAGTAGCAAAAGGACCCGACCTCTAGATTAGAACAGACTGAAACTGAACTTTAGAACAGATTGAAGCGATCTGTGCTTTAGTTGTTTTCATGGTCTGGTCTTTATTAAGCACTAGATGGCTTACCCGGCTCCGCCCGGCCCTGTCAATAATATATTTGTAATCAGCATGCTCGATTACCCCCCTGTGCCAACTCCCAGCCCTGTAGCTCAAATTTTGCAAAAAATCGATAAAATCGATATCGATCGATGATGAAAAGTAGCCTATGACACCCGCCGGGGCCCGAAGTGTATGTGTGCCAAGTTTGGTCCGGATCGGTTCAGAAATGCAATTTTCTATTCGGAACATACGTACACACATACATACAGACAGACAGACAGACAAACAGTCATTCAGCTTTATATATAAGAATATGGTCGCTTGCTAGCATTATTTATAATTATTTGGTGGTCTCAGAATAAAGCTGAGTTTAATAAGTTTCACGGACTTTTTTGAATTCATTTCACATTCCAGAGGTATACTGTATATACAGAGGTCCCAAAAAGATCTGCCTCCTGTTTGGTTTTTGATAACTCTCAGTCTTTCGAGAAGCTTTAGGACCACATTGTAGGGCTGGCTTCAACTTAGACTAACGGTATGGATCGGATTACTGACTGCTTTCTATTACTGTAGGATTACGGTAGGAACACAAAGGAAGGTTTTATGCCATGAAAAGCCTATTTTGCCCCAGAAAGGCAATAAAACAACCTGAAAACTGTCACACTGGTATAATTAGAGTTGCTAATTCTAAATATGAAGTTCGCAAATTATCATAACGCTTCATTGAAAATTCATGCGAAGTAAGCAGTAGCGGCAGTTTTTTCTGTTCCCTAAAAATTTTGGTTACAACCGTTTGAAAAGCTTCGCAATCTTGTACATAATTAAGTATTGAACTCAGCGGCCACGAAAACCCTATTACACAAGTTTTCACATTTTCTTGAAAGTTTTCCAAAAAGACGGCTTTTTTCACAGTGACATCATATGCTTGAATTTTCTACCGTAAATCTACTGTAATTCTATAATAAGTCTACAGTATGCTCATAGCGATATAATAGGCTATGTAAAGATCTACTAGAAAAAAAAAGAAAGTAAACAATGGAACACTTTCAGACGGCGGTTGATAAAGTAACATAAAATCAAGTCATTCTTCTCAAAAAAACCCTTCATTTTCATCCACAACTGTTTCTCTCGGTGATGCAAGCACTGTCTATCTTAAATTACAATTTTTCCGGACCATGTAGAATACAAAAATCATGACGTCATTTTTTAGGGACGAGTTTCCGTTCGCGTCTTCGCCTTGCTCTACCGCATATAGCACTAATATCGACTACCCTGCTTTATGTGTTTGTTGGATGTAAGTTTGTTTTTTTTGAAGACTTTCTTGATGACATGATCGTTTTTTTATTGAAAAAATCCTCGCCTAGTTTTTGTGTGTCAATAATAAGCTTCATTTGCCAAGAATTCTTAGAAGAAGTGAGGAAGCGCATTTTCGATATGAGTAAAGAGCTACAATTTATGAACCTGGAAAATCTCTGCCACTTCTTCCCAAAATCTGTCACTTTGACATTATACTGTAAAATCTTAATTTTTGAAACGAGCAATATAAAAAACACTTTTCTAATTCCTTCCCATTTCCCTACCTAATTCATTCCCTAATTACTTCTCAATGAATGCACCTCTTAGTGCTAGTTGCCGCTATTCATAGGATTTATCCAGCTGTGAACGTAGCATGTTGCTGCAGTTTCTCAGAAGGTGAAAGCGGAACTCACCTTACCCCCTGCGGACAACTGTTCCTTAAGCACTAAAATAGTCAGAGATGCTTTTTTGAGAGATTACGTGCTAAGCAGATCGGCTATGAATAGGGAAGATTTTCAACGAACAATGGAATGAAAACGCAGTATGAGTTTTTCAGAATTTGAGGATTTTGCAGAGAATTCGCTTCAATATCAGATTTTGCGGAGCACAAATTTCTAAGAGCTCAAAATTTGGAAGAATAAATATAAATGAAGTGAAACATATAGCCTGAAACAATACATATCAAGTCAAATTTTGCAAAGAAAGACAATGCGATTTCCTTCCCATTTCCCTACCTAATACTGTAAGAATTACTCCATTTTCGAAAGTTGGTTGATAAGAGCCCGAAAACTGAATCGTTTCTCAATTTTTCTTTTTTTTTGCTTCCAAAAGAAAATTCTATGCAGGGGAGAGAAGTCTTATTGCCATACTTATCATTCTGAAACCGATGAAAGGAGTTTTCCGACAATTTTGAGAGAGCATCGTAGTTTTTTCAGAAATTTTTGGTTTCGCGTTTTTTCTCATCGAGGATGGATCAATGCTTGTGTAGCAGTTAGATTTGAGTTCATGAAGATGAATAAGAAATTCTTCAAGAAGAGCTCGATACTTTTTTTAAGACTTTGAGAATTCTTTTTAGTCTATAATAATTGTATATGGACTATTAAATCCTGGAATAGAATTGAGGCAGAAAGGCTTCGAACGAAAGTTTTAAAATTTTCTTTCTAAGTTTGTATAGATGGAAAAATATTAGGTTGGCTAAAAAGTAAGTTCGTTCTAGCATACAAAATGTCATAAAAAATTTTCTTGTTGTTTTCAATCTATGATTTTTTGTGGGAAAGTAGCTCGAAGCTTCCTCTATCACATATCAAATAATCAGGATTTTCTATCGTCAGTAAAGACAGTTATGCCTCAACATGGCGAAATTTCCAAATGCTCAATTCTTTAAGTTCTTGAGCTTCGTTTTCATGCTGTAATAGATGTAAAGAACAGCAGTTTGGTGTTTGGATACAGAGGAGTTATCCCTATTTAGTGAACAACAAAAAGAATTGGGATCTGCCGTTTCGAATATGTTTCACTAAGAAAACCAAATTTCCTCATATTTGCGCACTATGGGAAAATTGCAATTTTTCACTTCTTTGCGGATTTTTTTCCTGAAAAGATAAGTTTTACTCAAACAGAATATATGCTCCAATACCCAGTGAAGTGTTATTTTTAGAGATACCAAACACTGGACAAAAATTTGTCTACAGCATTTGTAAGAGCTGAAAAAGCGACCGAACTTATTTATTAGCCAACCTAATAATATAAATATTTTTATCCTAAACTTGACTTTTCTTGAGCTCTCGTCTTTGCTGCCATCGAGCGACCACACGAACTCGATCGACGGAACGAGCATGTGAAAGCAATACGAAAAGCTGAGGTGAGCTGAAGCTTTGTCGATTATAAGTTCAATACTTCCAAAGGCATCAAATTTACTTTGGATGCGGAACAGTCTAAACTATACACTTTTCGTGCTTCTCATAGCTTTTCAGGAAAAAAAAACAAACGAATTTGTGAGAAAGGACTCACAATAAGATCTGAAACTTTAGGTATCATAGTGTTACCAACGAATCTCTCATTTTTTTTCTGCTTTTCGTTCCTACCGCTAGTTCAAATTGATAAGAATAACCGTTTACAATTTCAATCTTAAGATTCATATTTCTCTGAACTACATCGATTCAATCTCATTCCTTTTGTAGGTGGGTTCTGTACTTTCTTAATTTTTATCTGAATGCAAGTCTTTCAGAAATAATTTTAACTCGTAAAGAAGCAGTAAGCTTAAGTGCCAATCACTTACGTCATCTTTAAGAGGAATAATAGAACTACTGTATATAAGCGAAGCCTAGATCAGAAAAAACGTCATTGTCTATGGCATTTCTTGTGGGACTAAGATTGCAAACCTTTTGTGAGAAAGGAGGGGGAAAAGTGAGGAAGCAGGTCCATTAACCTTTATGGATATACGAAAATTCTTTGTTTGCCAAAACACTATAAATTCATGACACATGTCTAGAGAAACTTATTACGGGCTCTGAACTTAAGTTGGCAACTCGAATTTTTATATTTTTGTATGTTATATGCAGTAGTTCTATTAATCCTCCAGAATATGACATGAAAGATTTTGATAAATTTTCTAAATCTGGTTTCGCAACTTGAATTTTTATCCTTTTTCCCAAAAAACCTAACTTCTCTTTTGTTATAATAGATTTATTCATTGACTCATTTCTGCAAAATAACGAAGTTTTTTCTAATTTTCGGAAGTTCGACCATAAGCCTAGTATTCGAAAATTTTCTACATCACTAAGCAGAACAGCATGCAGTTGTGCGGACCATTAGCGCTGCCAAATGTTCGCATTTCAAATTTTCCGCTAAAATGACTTGCGTCAAATGAACTGCGCTTCCATGCATATGTAACTGCACTTTGACAGAGATCTTTCGCGCGGAACAGTTGGCTAGGAGGGGGGGGGGGAGAGAAAGGACAAAACGATTATTTAGGTTAAAAAATAAAATTTTCTAGGAAGCTATCAAAGCCTATGACATGGAATCGGATCCACATAACGAGACAGCGCTTCAGCTTATAGATCATCTCACTGAAGTGACTTTTTTGGCGTTTGAAGCTGGCTTAAAGCCAAGTGGTAAGGGTATTCCAGAAAAAATCGATATATCGATTGATTACGAAATTTCAGACCTACGCAATAGCAGTTTCAATTCACGATGGAGTCTAGCGTCATCATTATTCTTCACTACAACTGTGCTGACATCTATAGGTGGGTTTTTGCATATAAGAACTGAGCCTTCATAGCAAACTTGTGAGATAGATTTTGATCGATCTTATCAATCAATAATAGATTGTCAGAACTCGAAACTCGCAGATCAGTAGGAATTACACTAGAAAAGGACTCTCATTCGAAATCCATCTAGATCCAATCCTTTTTGTCTGAGGCTCGTGCAAACGCTTTGAAATTTTCGGGTATCAGCCTAACCCTCAGTAAAATAGAGGTAATCGTGTGGGAATCCAATCTTCTTTTGACTTTAGCCGCACTAAGCCCATAAGCAAATACCCGTGTCATTTTCTTGACATTTCCGACGTTTCGCCTGCACCTGTTGTCTGTCACATCTGTCCATATTAGGCATATCATACAGTACGAGATATGCGAGAGAAAAGATGAACAGACAAAATATTAAGCATGATTCAAAAGGAAGATGATTCATCTTTGTGCTGATTATGCGTTCGCCCAGTGATAACCTTCACTTTTTAGGATATGGTCATTTGATTCCAATATCACCCGAAGGGCAAATATTGTGCATGTTCTATGCTATACTAGGGTAAGTCGTCATCAAAATAACAAAAAAAAACAATCCTGCTTGGCTACACAAAATTTGGTCCGAGAAAACATCTCTATTTTCTGCGAAAGCATACTTTTGACTTTCCTCGAAAATAGTAGGAAAAGAATGAGAAAATCTACGACAATTTTTCATGTTATGACCCTCTCAATAATTCATTGTTTTAGGATTCCGCTGACTTTGATAACCATAGCAGACGTGGCTAAGTTCTTGGCAGATTTTCTTGGAAGGCCCGGAGATAGTCCATTGGGAGAGGTAAGACTCAACTATTGCTTCTTCCCAAAGATTGGGATTGCCTCTAATTTTGCCCTTCTCCTCCCTTAACAATGTTTTTTTCTTGAACTCACAACTTGAACTTTTCGTGAACGCAAATAAGTACTCTCCTGCCTTTTTCAGTTCAAAAGTTCAGGTTTCCGGTTCAAGACGCTTGACAGTCCTGCTTAGCCTGTTTGGCTATATGACGTTGGCTGCTTGGGTTTTCACCTTTTATGAATCTGGCTGGTCGTTTTTGGATTCGTTCTACTTTTGTTTGATCTCACTGGTGAGTCCACTTCAAGCTGACATTTGAATAACAGTAGATTTTTCTCTCGTAAAACAATGCAATCGTGATTTGAATACTTTTATTCCAATGTATGGCCTGCTGTTTCTTCAATATTTTCTTCAAAAGAGTGTTATTTTGGTGCAATTGCGTACTACAAGATGGCGGTAGTAGAGAAAGATAATAGTCATCTGAATGAGTGGAGCATTGAACCTGTTTGTTCCAGCAACGACTCAGGTCGTTTGCTGCTTTCAATTCAATCAGTACAAAGATTTATGGGCACATAACTCTATAAGTGAAAGCATCATAAAGTCTTGTAGGACGGGGAGAAAGGGTAGAAACGGAGGGGGGGGGGAGGTCGGGAGGGGCAAGAGGGGGGTGGGGGGGGGGGGGGAACAGGAAGAGAGGAGAAGGGGCATTAAGATCGCAGGTGAAAACAAATGACTGCTATATTCCGAATGCATTGAATGTTAGTTTAAAAAACCCGAGAATTCGTAAAAAATTGGGTTTGTAGGCAATAAGGGTTAGTACGGCATCAAAATCAAAGATTATGAGTATTGCCTGAGTCTGAAAAAAAGGAACAAGGATTCTTCCTATACCACAAAAAAAATTTTGAGAAAGAATTGGAGGAACTAGAAGGCTGTTTAGTCTAACCTGTTTGGCTAATATGGAACTAATTGGGACGCCTTAACAAACCATTTTGAAAAAGGGTAGTTTGTTTAATCCAATCGCAGTAAAGAAATTTTGACTTTGAACAACTTTGAACATCCGCCCTATACAGTAGGGAAGTGCGGATTAGTCGAAAAGCGTACGGTACCGGGCGAGAGCTTAAAGTTAAATTGTTCGGCCATAAAATAAGCATATGAGCTGCCGCTCGGGCAGAACTATGGTTAGGACCTTCCTATCAGTTTCCACATAGGACCATCAACTCAGTTTTGGAACGAATACCTCCAATTTTTTCCAGCCCCACTCCTCCGCGTCCACCCCAACTCCTTTCCCTCCCCTGACGTTGTCCAGCGCAGTCACGAACTGTACATGAGAGTCTAGAAGTAAAAGTAAGCAAACGACACAATAGTCGTTGCTGTTGTTTTTCGATGTCCGCTCACACATTCGCTTGCGAGTTTTTCATTTCACAGCTCATTCCTCACAATGAGGTAAGTGTCTTGTCCTGGCGCCGCGCGTTTTCCAACCATCGAACTGGTCCTTTGCCATGTACTTCATGGTCTACTATCTAGCTGGACTATCGGCTAATAAGCTGTCAGCTGGGCTTCAGATACGGGAGGGGGGGGGGGCGTCGAACACCCTAAATATTTATTTCTCAGTTTTATACAAATATAGAGGATTGCACTAAGCCATTGCTTATTGCTCAAGCGGTAGCACTTATGTTTCATTCGGTGCTGGGAAAATTCACTTTTACTCTTAACTCTCGCCCACTACCGTAAGCGACCCGTCGTACTTCGCCGAAAAAAACCCAACGCTCAAAAAAGCTTGAAAAGCCGAAAAAAGCCCAAAAAAGCCCGAAAGAGCCGGAAAACAGAAACGAAATTATGGTATATTTCTGACGTTATTTTGATATGCAGACGACAGAAAATGAAGCAAAAAGACTCAGTTGCGAAATCAACATCATGCCTTAGCGTCAAAACGGAAGGGGCGTTCCTGCTCTTTCTGGCACTCTTGGGCTTCTTGTGGCATTTTTTGGCTTTTCGGAATTTTTTGGGCTTTTCGGGCTCTTTTGGGCATTCTTGGGCTTTTTCGGCTAAGTATGACGGGTCCCTAAGCGAGAACGCCGACCGCAAAGAGTACGGTAATGGGCGAGAGATCAGGTTTTTGGAGAATATTGATGTCTATGGCTTTTTGGCGTTTATCAGTTTTTCAAGGGTAACTGTCACATTACGGTAGGAATACGGTAGGATATACATGATCTACTCACAAAGTTCAAAAGTTTTTGAACTAGAAACTCACAAGAAGTGTATAGCGCGGACTGAGATACACGGACTAATCGTTAGTTTGATTCTTTCTTTTAGACATAGATTACAGTGGATGTAAGATTACGGTAAGATCACGGTATGCTGCAAGATGCTTGCTGATTTTCTCGCCAAAAAACTTCTGTCAATCGTACATCCAAACTTCGTACATTTTGCCTCGGATTACGGTAACAAGTGCAATTTTGCTTCGAAAAGCATCCCCTTCATATCTTTGAGTTTCAAATACATAATTATAGCCTTAAACAAGGTAAAAACTCCGCTTGGGCCAGTTGCTGTCACGCTTGAGACGCACAGCACAAATCGAATTCCCAACCACTCAAGCTGACCTCATAACGAGCCGGTTTACTAATGAAAAACCATCTCTAGATAGCCGACATTGCGAAGCAGCCCCGGCTATATGTCTGTGTATTTTACAAATTTGCAAAGAAAAAAATGATCAATTAAATAATCAAGTCAGTATTGATCGATTTCAATCAATGATTCTGTATCTTTCAGATGACGGTCGGATTTGGTGATCTGTATCCACAAGGTGATATGGAGTACATGCTAGCATCAATAGGTAAGTAAATTAATAGGTACTTCAGGTGCCATTTTTCAGAACTCGCTTCAACTTAGATTTGCAGTATGAAGCGAATTACCGTTTCCTCTTTATTACTGTAGGACTACGGTAAAAACTACAATTAGGTTTGCATTATTGAGGGTCATATTTTACCCTAAAAAAGCTGGAAACTCTTAAGATTATTCAAGGTCGCTGATCTCAAATATGAAACTCCCACTTCATCATGACACTCTCCTCATAAGTTCTGTCAAATACACCATAACAACCGTTTTCTGATATTTTTTGAGAAATTTTTTTGAACGGCCTGTTTTCACGGTGGCGCCATGCAGCGAGTTCCTACCGTAACGCTACAGTAATGAAGAGGGATGCTAATTCGATCCATGATGTAAATCTACTTTAAAGCCAGCTCTACAAAATGATATCTAGATCTTCACGAAAGATTTCATGACAAGAGAGACTAACGATTAAACAGTAGGCACATTTTTTGGGAATTCCTGTATATATTAGTTCATTGAAATAGTTGAAATTCTAGCTGAGAAATTTGGAAAAAAAACCACCGAAAATTGGAGTTTGTTGAGCGGTTAAGGTAGGCCTACGGTATAAAAATATCGGACTGATATATTTTGTCCACCATATATTCCATGCTACCGTACTCCTACAGTACCCGGTCGCAAATCTTTCAAGCTTGGTATTTTGTTTGCTCTGAAGACTAGATTTTTACAGATTGCATCGATATAACGAAGAAATCACTGACGTTTTAGAACCTAGAATTTTTTTTTGTAAGAATCTAGTCCTCAGAACAACCAAATTACCAAGCTTGAAAAACATGGGACTAAGTACTGTAGGGCAACAGTAGCATGAAACACATGGCGGACAAAACACATGAAACAAAACTACAAAATTTTACCTTGAGTCTGGTTCCCCAAAACGGTCGAAAAGCTGGAAATTATGAGGAAGTACGGTAAGGATGCGGTGGTATGAATATGTTTACACATGTAAAATCATTTCGACTTCTCTAGATTCAGAATATTTTATGAGTAGAGAGAGTGGAGTTATAAGGCAACAAAGGTGCGAAAAGTGTAAGCTTTATTCAGGTAGAGTTTTTAGTCTTCTTTTTGATTGTAGCTAATTTTATGCGTGCTCAGGTAATTACTATACCTTTGACTATTTGAATCCCGTTCATGAATCAATATTATTGATTATTAAACAATTCATTAGATTTCGTTGTCATGATAAGCAGTGTGATCACTTCCTCCTGCACCATCGCAAGGTGTTTTATAGAGAAACCCCCCGGTACGACAATGACCCGAGCTGTGTCTCTGTGTCTCCCTTAACCTTGATTCACTTCACTTGCGATAATAAACAAGCGAATCGGTATCGTATCTCATAACTATCTAAGAAAAACTTCGTAGATAATGGGGGGATTGCGTGAGAAACTGCTCAACAATGGAGCGAAATTTAGGTCCACTGTAGTTTGCGACTAATTTTTGCAAGAACGCCTGGAAGATACTAGGTTTTGAAAAAATAAAAAATAAAAACCTTGTTCAAATAGAATTTTTCGAAAGTTGTTTAGCTCTAGTAAACATATTAAAACTGTTGATACTTTGGTCAGTCAGATCTGTTTTTTTTAAATTTATTTTTTCATGAAAACAAGGAAAGAGAGCAGAATCTAGGTATAAGAATTTCTAAAAAACGGAAAACAAAATTATAAGCGGACACCTTTAGAACCTGAGAGGAGGACAAAGTATCTTTTACAAGTAATTCTGCTGCAAAATTTTCAGAGGTAAAAAATTTTTGTCAAAATTTTCGCATGCCAAAAAATTCTCGAAGAAAAATCGGTTTTAAAAAATCATTTTTTACAGTTTGCTGCACTAGAATATGATAAATAAGAGAAATTATAAGAAGTTTCTGTCTTTACTGCGTTACGCACAATAAGTCATCTACACTCTGTAGATAATTTTTACATTCCACACTCACACTAAAAAAAATTTCGGTTCCAAGTTCGCTATATGGGAATCGCTTCAAACAAAGAAGTTGGTAGAAGGATTGTGGCAAGTATTATGTTTGGCCTAGCGTCCAACAATGAGTGCAAGTAGATTATTTACTTGTTTATTATTTATCAACTTATTTTATTGATTTATCGTGTATTTACTTATTGCTATTAGAAGTGCACCAAAGGAGAGAGCTTGAGATAGTGTTATATACTTTTCTGTTCCCTTGTTTTACAATTTGCAATTTTACTTTATTATGATTTTCATAAAGTACACCTTTAGAGTACGTGATAGTTCTATTTCATGCGTCAATGCAGCTGTATTTGCGCACTTTATTGACTATATTGGCCTAAATAGGCCTTACACTTTGTAAATAATGCAAAAATAATTATGATACAATTGCACTTTACACAAATTGCATTTATGTACAGAGGTAGAGAATTTTTCGAGGATTTTAATGATAGGGTTAATAAATTTGTAGATCTTTTTTAACAATTTTATGGAGTTCTAGAATTTTGGAGAAGCTTCCTTGTAGGCCAAGAATCTTACGAGTTAGGCGAAATGGACAGATCCACTGCTTTTTCGTCCGTCCTTGCGTATACACACGGCCGTCGTCAAAGTTTACTTAGGCCAACACATCGACGAATCGTTCGGGGATCACGTTGACCCCCGTTGTAATTGCTTCACTGAGAGGCGTGACTAACCTAGAACACAAGGGTCTCTCGGGAGATCCTTCTATGGTCAATCAACCAGAAGTTGTTTTATGTTAGGAGAAGTGTACGATTTTGATTGATAAGCAGGGCAAATTGAGAAAAAATAGTGAAAATTCGAAATTGTATGATTTTTAGTGTTTTTGTTCGTTGGACTGGTGCTGACGACGTTGGCCGTGGATGTGATGGGTTCGGCATGCATCGAACGAATCCACTCGATCGGTCGCGGTTTGGACGCGATGGCGCTGCTACGGGCCCTCAAAAGCGCCAAAGGAGTGATTGGCAACAAGTGAGTTGGGACCAGAGAGCGGCACGAAGACCCGCGGACACGTCTCTCTCTTAGAGAGTTTTCCGAAGGTTTTCCGTCCCTCTCTGCGTCTCTGCGCCGGAACGTGTTCTGTTCGTATGATGGTCGCGGAACACTCTGCTTCTTTAGGTCCACGGCCGCGCCGCCCCCTCCGCTGTGGTTCGCGTTTGTACCCAAGGACGCGGCTGCGATTCCGTACATTGACGATGCGGATGCGGCGCGTGCTGTTGCTGCTCGTGAGAACTCAACCGCTAAGGGCTCAGCTAAGGGTCCGAACGGTGCAAAACCCCGCCGATGACCCCGCCGTCCAGGCTAGCGATGCCACCAACACCACCACCACTAGCAGCACCACCAGCACTACCGCTTCCGCCACCGCGGCGGCGGCGACGGTTCTGCTCTACGACGGCACCGTCGAACCCGTGGCCAACTTCCTCGACACCCTAGCCAGCCTCGACCCCGACTACGCTCGGATCGTTTGCTCCGGCCCCGAGCCCATTCGACAATATCTGATCCCACAAATTATTCGTGAAGAACTTGAAGTACCCCCAGCACTGTTGAGCTATTATGATTTGAGTAAAACTACTAATAATTCTTCTGCTATTCCTAGCTCTGATGCGGTCGATTTTGACGAAGAGGCTAGATTTATGACCTCACGACTAGAGATATTATCTGAAGGTTTGTCATGTACATTTTTTTCCTATTGCCCTGCATTCAATCCACTTCCCTTTCTTTGATCTCTATTCTTGATAGTTTTACTTTCATGGGGTAGATGTACATATCTATCATGTCTCTGCTTAGTTACTATTTAAAAAGAGGAATTGTATAATTGATTGTAATGTATAGTAAAGCTTATATGTACAAAGAAGAAATTAGTAACTCCTGCAAAACTGTAGATATTTTATCCATCATGAAAGTAATTTTGTAGAAAAAATGTGAAAGCGATAATTTTTCGGTATTTGCGGTTATGAAATTTATCGCACAGCCATTATTCTGTATTAAAAAAGTAAAAGAGTAAAAGAAGTAACGTAAAAATAAAGGTATTAGATTTTTGAGACAACTGTGCTCTTCAACTTTCCTCTGGACAAATCAAAAATAATTTTTTAGAGGCTTTGAAATTTCATTCAATTTTTCATTAGTTTTCCATAGCTTGAAAGGATGAAAGTCAAATTAGCAGTTTGACAATAAATTTTTATTCTTGACAGAAAGTAAAAAATTTTCTGGAAAATTTGCTGCCCCGCCAGCCGTATACAATGTCATAATTGCTGCCCTCCGTCCCTGCTCTTAAATTTTTCCATCATTTTCAAATTTTCAGTTTCTTCATTAACAGGCAATTCATATCATATCAAAATGAATATTTCATTTCTTATTCATACAAAGAAATGTATCATAAGAAATCACACGGATCAAAACATCAACACAAAAACATCAAACACTTGCTTTGGAAACAAGATCTCCAAATTTCTTTTCCTTCCGGAAATTTTAGCCGAAACCCTTGAGTTAGTAAATTTTTTGAGACCCCGTGTAACACATCTTTTGTAAACATTTACAAAAGAGACGAGATATTCTGGCTGCAAACTTGTCTTACCAGTTTTCGCGCATTTTTTTTTCCGCCGTGGAAAGAAAATATTTTGGTAGTTTAACCAGTTTGTCCACTCACAAGGAAAATTCTCTCTGCACAATTTTTTTTCTGTTGGAGATTTCGCGCTTTTGCTTAGTGCATATCCTATTTACAGAGTATTCCGGTTTTTTTAAACTCCCCCCCCCCCTTCTCGCCTACGCTTCCATTTATCCAGAGGTTTTCTTTTGGCAATGGCCGAATGTTCATTAGATAATATGTGGCCATGATGGCCTTATGATTTGCGATGTGCCTCGTTAAAGTCGAACAATGATGGGGCAAGAGGGAGGGGGGGGGGGTAGAGTAGGGCCATCGTCGGCAGAAGAAGAAGCTTTGGAATAGAATGAGAAGATCCGGCTCGGCTCGGAACGTGGCGCAGAACACCCGATTTCGACGAGCTTTTGAGAATTTCTTCGCAACACCACCACATCACGTCATCGATCCGGTTTTCTAAGAATTTGTCGAACTGGTTGTCACTGACTCAGTTCTCCGTCCCCCCCCCCGTGGCTGTCGATAGTTGATGAATTTACCGATGTTCTGCTGCCGTCGCAGTAGCAGAAGTGGTGAATCCTGCAAAGCGGGGTGAATAGCGCATTTTGCAGGATCCGCGGGTTGCAAAGCGGGGGAACTTCAAGTTTTTTCTCGTCGGGGTTGGATCGGATCCATTAGGGGACGACCCGGGAAAGAAAGATGGAAAGATTGAAGTGCGTGTAAGTTTGTGAAGGGGCCCGGATCGATTCGACCCAGTTTTCGCTACGTCTTCCCGTTCCGTCACCCGCAAATCGTCGCTCTCTGGCCGGGCACAGTTTGATCGCGCACATCACATCTCACCCCTCCCCCCACAAGGATTTTGAAAAAAAAACCGCCCCCTTTGAAAATCTTGATTTTACTAAGGAATGTAGAAAAAACGCAATCTAGCTTTTGTGACTTTTTTCGCGCGATGACGCGTCGCGACGCGACGGTGGTCAACGCGGCGCGCAAGTGCGTGAGTGAGGTGTCCACGTTGGTTCCGTTTACACAACTGACTCACCCCTATGTAGACGGAATAGAACAGCAATTATTGGACACCACCAACATCTACCACACACAGTAAAGAGCGCTACGAACACCCCCTTCCCCCCCCCCCTCCTTGTTTCCTCATCCCCCTCCCCCGCCACTACGAACGGAACCTCTGCGACAAAGTGGATAGAAAAAAAACGCGCTCTACTCACACAGACATACCACTGAAGAGGATGCGCATTTCCTCTCCTCTAGCTAGCCGATAATTGATTAGGGAATTTCGTGACAGTTGTCTGAAAAAATGATGGTCATGCTGGTCAAATACACGAATGAGTCACATTTTTGTTCCACTGGTCTCACTTTCGCCCGACATGATATGATGAACTTGTCTACGAATGGGAAAACGGTCGATTTTTCTTCGTTTATAGGGGGTGGCTATGTTTCGAAATTGTGGTGAAAACCTAATTTTAGAAAATTTTGCCCTTTCAAGTTACAAGTGACCTCAAATTTTAAAATTGCCTTCCTCACGGAGGAGCAATGCAGCTATCAAGAACTGACTTTTATAACGGATTTTTTGTGTTCAGTAATTAAATAAAAATTTAGTAAAATGTACTAGATGTTCCCTATAATTTTGCAGAACTCCGAGAGAGAAAATCATGATTTTGTCACTATCTCAATCAATGTTTAATTTTGAATTTGATCATGCATTGTTGCAGAATGAAAAAAATCAGTTCTTTCCACTCTTTTTAGCATATTCAGCAAAATTAGCTTCGACTTTTTACTCATTTTCAATCGAAGGGAGTAAGTTCGATTGACTTATGCATTTTTGTCCCAAAGTTGTGGATTTTAGATTGTTGCGAATTTTCAATCTAGATTTTGCAAGACTCGATAGATTGTGAAGAAAATCATGTCGTTTTTTCTAGGCTCTTTTCACCATCACCTTGAGTTGCAATATGTAAGTGGAGATGGTCTGAAATTTCCGAAAGATATTCTTAACCTTTTTTGAAAATTATCTAAAATTGTTTTTCTACTGCAGCTACTCTATATAGTCTAGTTTTCGATGTACAGTGCATGCTTTAGAAATTCTTACTACTCACTTGTTAGCTAAATCGTACATTTATTCATTCTACTAGTGATTAATGCAGAGTTTTTTCTTCACTTTATAAACAACCTATCGACATTGTCATTCCCTTTTTTTGCAGTGAAACAAGTTATCAGTCATACATATCTAGTGATTCAATCTTATTCATAACTCATTCTGTTCAATGAAATTCTAGAAATACATCATTTTTCGGTAAATGTTGAACTTGTCATAGAGTCAACATTCGGTTTCTGTGATTCAGCAATTTCATTCTGTAATTTGTCAGATTAACTGTCATGTAAGGGGATGAGAAATCTGGGGAGGAGTGACTATGACTTTTCCTTTATTTTTTTCTGATTTTCTTCGTCCAAAGCCAAAGAGTGACCAAATTAGGTTTGCTATAAGCAACCATGTGTCCTTTCTACTTTCCAGCTAATATAGACGAACGACGAGCTACCAATAGCGACGAACCAGTTAAGCCGGGTAGAAGGAGATCCGTGCTTCAGTTTTTTGCACTTAGCACAGCACTGGGCAGGTGGCCGGATCGAGTCGGGTAGTAGCCGGCCCCGGTCTTCTTCAGACGTCTAGCCACTACCTTGGCTATATTGCATTAACGAGCCGATATGTTCTATAGGTTCAAAGAACGGCGAACGAGTCGGCCGCGATCGTAGGGGGGCGAAAATGGCGAATTACCCGGCTAGTCTTGACCCCGGTTGTGCAGAGAACTGGCCATGGAAAATCTTTTGCTGAGGTGGTTGTGGTATTGACGGTGTTGGAGCGGGGGGGGGGGATTGTGTGTGACCTTCGATGCGGGCGTAACGCATAATTGTGCGCAAAACGAGCATCTTGAGAGAGACACACGGGGGTGAAAGGAGGGGAGATACCGTCTCGATTTGCAACTGAAATTGGGTAAATGACCCTTTAGGATTTACCAGAGAATTCACAAATCGATAAAATCTACTCTGAGCTCAAAAATTCCAATTTAAAGATTCAGAACCCCTAAACCCCCTTCTGATTCGATTACATGTACTACTAACCCCTTTGCTGCATGTGTCCAATGATTTGGAAAGAATCCAAAAACGAGAAGTAAGGTCATTTTCGCTGAATCACTTGCAAGTGTAACCGTCTCGTCACCTTAGTTTGCTGAGTGTCTATTTACCTACTGAGCAAAGGTTACGAAAAGTCACTCGAACATCTAGACTTGGGATTATACGGAAGGAATAAGCGAGGAAGAAAAATTTGACATGATTTTTGCAGAATTTTGGACCTTTTTCTCTAGCATCGCCATTTTTTCCTCTAAATACAAGCTTTCACATTTATGAAACGGAGGAAGTAACATCATTTACGAGATTTTGCTGTTCTATCTGATTTTTATCGATTTTCTGCATGCGCGTTTAAGCGTGTGCTCGTAGCATAGGTTAATCAATATGAGACTGCGAAGCACGTTTAGATTTGATTTTTCCTACTAGTATTACAACAAAATTTTCTTCTTCTGCAAATTTTGAAAACTGAATCACAGACAGCATCTATTCTCCCACAATTCTGCTGAAAATTAAGATTATATTTGCATTTCAAACGCTTATAGAATTTTTAACCAAATATA